GTCCTGCCACTCTCATCCACTTACGGGCGCTTGTTGCTACAAAACCTCTGCATCCTACCTCTACCGGAAAATGGGTTGCCTTCCATCCTGAATGCCCCCAATGAACGTCCAATGAACAAAGTCAAAGAGGCACCTTTCAAAATCACCAAAATATTTTTTGGGCCAAGGCTTACAATTTTCTTGCTTTTCATTCCCGATAGTGATCGGAACAACACAGCAAAAGCTAGTTTTGTAGGGAGCTGTATCTAGTGTAAAAAGTACCCAAACGGGTGGATTGCTTGCGACACGGCGTGGGCAATAAGCTACTTGTAAATCCTTTGTGGAGGGCTCTCGTGGCCTTGAGGTTAAGGTCTTCGCCTCTCATTAAAAATCTCGGGTTCCCATCCGGGAAGCGACCGAAACATTTTCTTCTCTAAAATCAAAATCGTCTTTTTTCCTGCTCTCTAGCAGTGTTCTGTCGTCTCTACTTTCTGCCGCCACCCCTCCTCTAGGCTCCTGGCTCTTTCTAGTACAATGTAGTAGTTTCTACTGCTACTCCTTCGCTGCTTCTTACTGCTGTCTTTCACTTTCAGCCACACCCCCTGATCTTCAGGAAGGAAAGATCTGCACCTAGCCTTCTCGGACAAAGGCGAAAAATCTCGGAGGTCCCGAGTGCAAAGTTGCGCACATTAAAGATCCCTTGGTTGTCTAAAATCGGCCGCCACCCACGCAAAATTCAAAATTTCCTACCAGCTGAAAATGTTGAATGTGTTCTGTGCGCTCACAATAATATCAATATCATGATCGTATGCACTTACAAGCGCCGAAAAACACTCACAAAAAAGAAATCTTTTGTTGTAAGGTGCACCATTTAGCTAACTTGAACTGAACATACGTGTCGTGCTGGACCAGAATGCAGACGATCCAGGTTCGAATCCCCAACGCGGCTTTCTCGACTCCGAGTTTGTGAGGGGAGTTTTTATAGCTCTTCACCAACTTGCTTCGCCTTGTACTGTTGTTGGCCTACATCAATCGAAGCTCCCGCCTACATGTCGGATAAGATAATCTGTCCACTAAACTGTAACTTGTTACCGAGTTGAAAGGACGTCAAACGTGTACCACACTGTTGACACACTCGTTTCGCAATAGAAAATGTAGATCTAACTGCAGACATTTTACATCTCCATCTACACAACTTTGGTCATTTAGGAGGCGGGCTTAGATCCGGCCAATCCGAACATAGAGGAATACGTCTTTCTACGACTTAACAATAACACTATTATTATTAACTGACAGACGGAAACACTTGGAGAGAATCCTGCCTACTCTGAAATCAAACAGATCTCCCGCGTCCTACGACGAAGCTTCAAAACTTAATAAACCCAAAGGTCTTGAGTTCTATCCCTGCCTGCATTCGTGTTTTTTTTCCTCAAGTTTTTTCTTTTACAATTTACACTACACCCCCTGATCCTTGGGTAGACAAGGACCGAGCACCTTGACTTCTCTGAAAAGGTCGAAACACTTCGGAGGTATCGTGTGGAAGTGGAAGTTGAGCACGTTAAAGACCCCTTGACGGTTCTAAAAATCGAAGAGTAGACCCTTTGGGCTGCCGCCGGGCAAAGTTCAACATTAATTTCTACCAAAAACTGACGTCACTCTAGTCCGTATAAATGCAATGTACCACAAGTAGACTACCAACCAGGTACTTACATCAAGTACCTCCGAAAATGGCACTGGAGGACGGTCACTTGTCATTATTTTAGTAAGCGTTTTACGGCACTTGCAACACGATTAGGTCATACGAGTGCCAAAGATTAAAGGTGTTGTTACAAGCAAGTAACAAACACTAAAAAAGTATTTTAGTTTTAGTATGAGTTTTACGGCATTTGCGACACAATAAAGTATAAGTGCCGAAGATTAAAGGTGTTACAAGAGAGTAACAAACACAAAAAGGAGGAGAGATCTGGACGATAGATGTTTGACAGGAGAGCGATAGATGTCTGATAGGAGAGAAGGAGCAAAACCACGCAAGAGCAGCCGCCAAACTGTCAGGCAAGGGCCAATTATACATTCTATGTAGGCTGCTGTGTAGGCCTAGATAAAACGACCACAAACGTAAAAATCAGCTGCACTGTGAGGTGAACATCTTACACAGTTACAGTCGGTACGCCTGAGCCCTAGCAGGGGTGTAGAGAAGAAGGAAATAATGCTCATAAGCAATGGTCCAGTGTTCAATTCTTACGGTAAGTACATGTACAAAACCAGGTTTTCTATCCATTTGCTCTGAGAATCACAGGAAAGTGAAAGTACACAAGTAACAATTGATTGTTCAAATTCAAACGACACGAATGAAAAGCAGTGCCAACTTGGCAATGGTGCTGAAAAAGGAAATTAGTTTTTATTTTATCATGGGGATTCAAAAGAGCAGAAACACTTAAAGTTTCTCCATCATAGCTCTCCAACACAGATCTCAGGGACCACTCTTGTCTGACTTGTCATGGTCAAATAGTATACATAGACAGTTTCCACAGCTCTTAGTTTTAGTATACAAAATGTAAGAGTTTCTTTTACGGTGCGCGCAACACAAATCTATTATCTATTTGTGCTGGCCGAATTTTGCTTTTCAAAATGCTTTTTAAAGGCTGCATTGCCAAAATATTCTTTAAAATGTTCTCCAGATCATGACGCCCTTCGTTTTTTCAGTTTTGAGACAGCTTTGCTGCAAAAATCTAAATTTCTTTATTTCATCGATCGTTTTTGTAGGCCGACGCTTCTGTCTCTGTGATTTTAGAAAATCCGGGAGTGATATTTCGCGAGGCGCACTTTGTTTTAAGAGTATAGATCTAGACCTAATTTTTTGCATCTCTCAAGATTTATTGCCCTATTCCAGTTGAGTGTAAATATAGTAGGCCAATGACTTTTAGTTGATTAAAGTATTTAAAGCACCGATCATTCCTTTCATGGAAAGGGGGCCCAGCTAGTAAGTCATATTAGTAAAGATTAGAGGTGTCACTGGAAAGTAACATACAAAAAAGAGAAGAAAGATATGGACAAGAGATGTTTGACAGAGTAGAAGTAGCAAACTACACAAGAGCATCTGCCAAGCACACATGAAGAAAGATAAGAACGATAGATATTTGATAGGAAAGGAGGAGCAAACTATACCAGTTCATCAACCAACTCCACAGCTCTGAATTCAAACTACATGACAGAGACAATATCGTGTAGATATCTGACCCAACGAAAGTCTCCGTTTTCCATAAAAATAACGAACATCCACACAAAATCTCTCACTCAGTTTGGTTTTAGTAGAGGTTTTACGGCGCTCGCAACTGCATAAGGTCATATGAGCATCAGAAGATTAGAGGCGTTACAAGAAAGTAACAAACATAAAAAAACAAACAAGCGGAGATAAGGACGATAGACGTTTGATAGAGGGAAAAAGCAAACAAAACCAGAGCACCCACATCCCCCCACTCTCTCACTCAACTCTCTCCGCACAGTAGTATAGAAAAACAACAAGTCCTTGGTTCTGTTGTATAAACAATGTAATAAGTGAGTGGTAGAACTGTTGAAGTAGCCTGAAGCTTTTCTTTCGTGGAATAACAGTCATAGCCATGAAAAGACGGAACAAAGCTACATGGCGGTAAATCAGATAAAACATTTTTTACGTCTCGTAAATTCCAATGACACTTTAAGCCACATTTGTTCACAACGTAACATAAAGGTTCACATTTCTTCTAAAAAGCAAGAAGGGAAAAATAACTCAAATAACTAACACAATTTTTTTAAAGACTGCTGCATCACTAAATTTCAGAATGACACATAGATCTAATACTCAAGTCAAAGCCTTTTGGGTTAACTCAACGCTGGGTCAACTGCTAAATTGCTGTGCAACCAAATTATTTTCATGTGCTCTTTTCTTTTTGAGACCCCCTTGTTTCATTTTTCACCATCCTTTTGAATCAGCAATTGTGAGTTGCCCAATGTCATGTGTTCCAATGAAAGCGGGATCCTTTTAACATTCCAGAAATTTCTTTCAAAATCTCAAATTCAAGTTAATTAAGCACGGAAAAAACTGACAAACAGTATGTCCTGCTTCCTGCACTACCAGCAGGGCCAGGCCAGGCCAGGCCACCCCAAACCCGGATACATGTGTACCAGGTACCATTACTTTCGCCCTGCAAGGAACAAAACTTTTTGAAAAATAATCCAACAAACCATTTAAAATATGTAATAAAGTAATGTCTCACATCCCTACAATTTAGATAATTTATAAGATGGGCTTGTTACTTTGATCCTGACTATCATCAGGGCTCCCCCCGGTTGTGTAGGATACATTCCAGCAGAAAGAAGGAATATACTAACTAACACATCTTTCCACAAGGGGACAAAAGACATTTTCTTCATCAACAGACAGACGAAAAGAAATTGAAAATCAGTTTTCAAACTTCTTTTTCACAATATTATACACATATATTATAGATTTACACACACAGCGGAGCGTAACACAGGAGGTGAAAACGGTGTAAAGGAAGAGAGACAGGGTTATGACCATCCACCTGTCTTGAAGATATCACAATACTTTACAGTCAACAAAGGCAAAAAAAAAAAAGAAACCTAAAACAAGCAAAAGTATGCCACATGGAACTGTGCGATGCATCCTGAAGCATACTCATGCACAGGACAGCAAGAGCCAGAATGGGAGGAGGTGGGGGGAGGAGAGTCCCAACAAAATGAAAACTTCAGCTTAATTCTCAAAATTTTAAAAAATAATAACAATCAAAAGTCGGGCGGACTCAAAACTATTTCACACGGTCTAATAATAATAATAATAACACAGGGATCAACAAACTCACAGCATTTGTAAACATAAAACCTAATAACTTCTCTCTATATGTATATCTGCTAAAAACAAATTAATAACACATGTATTTAAAAAAGCAAAACAACAATAAAAAAGAAACTCCTAGAGCCTGGTTATAAGTGTCAAAAATAAAATCTTTCTCTTGGCCTTTCACAAAAGCGAATTAAAGTCTTGGCAACAACAACAACAACTGGAGTACCAAGACACAGCTTTTTCAGTTGTGACCAAATTTCTCATGCAGTGTCCATAAATAAAATATTGGAGTTGGAGTACCTTCTGACATAGTGGGGGAAGAAAACAAAAACAAACCAGATGACAAAAAGCAGAACATTAACACTTGGTTGAGATTTTTTTAAAAGTACGGGTATAAAATTAAAAATAAATACACATATATATCAAAGTAGCGCAATGGTTTCTTCATTCTTATCGTTCAGTCATTCACTTGTTCCTTGATATGTCTTTGTGACAAAAATACCGGTTTCATCTATGACTGGAAATGCAAAACAAATTATGAAGAACGTTAAAAGTAGAAGAAACAGTGGTGACAATGACAAAACACTTTAAAAATTGACTGGACCCAGAAAAAGGCAATTTGCTCCGAAGTAGTGAAGATAGCAAAGACAGTACACATGTATCATTACAATACCCCATTCAGGTCTTCCATTTTCTACACTTAGTAGGAGCACTGCTCACCTTGAAAAACTGTCAGGTTTAGAAAAAGACCGGTAGATTTATCATGATTTTGTTAATCCTATGAATCTTGTTACCCAGCCCATTTACACTTCTACTTTTTTAAAAAACATTTCGTCTCCTCAGATGGCGAAAATTGGCTTCTTGTCAACAGCAATGTTACTTGTTTGACTAAAGTGATGATGAAAAGATGTGTACGTAACTATGAATACATTAAATGATTATTCAAAACATTATATATATCATACTCATACTACATTTACAAAAATTATTCCTGAGAAGCAAAGAGCTTTTCTGACAATGTACCGACTATGTTTGGTTAGTCTGTTACCTAAACACATGGAAGTTCAAATGAGAGTGGCAATCACACAATAATGGTAATTCATAACCCAGCAGAAACTAACAAACTTCGACAGCAAACTGCCACCATAACGACAGCTGTGCTCAATATGGAAGAATCAGCAATTCGCTGCGCACTGATTTTTATAACAACAAAATTTGCCAGCTGTTTTGATGTAGCGTCGTCATCAGACAAGCAGAACTGAACAGCTACGAAAATTAATAGACAATTAATATGCTTCATTGATAGTTCAAAATACTTCCTGCCAGGCCAGTGCACTAAGATGTAAAGATGGGAGAGGAAATCGCCAACACAAGAATCAGAGAAAAAACAAAAAAAACAAAACAAAACGAACAACACACACGACATGTACGAAAAGAAAAAGTGGTGTTCAAAGAGAAGCAGGGATAATACTGGATTTCTTGGTAGTAGGACTCCACAAACAAATGAGGGACAGAGTGAATGCAAAATACAATTGGGCACTTTGTGGAATTCTAAACAAAGTAAACCCATCTCCACCGAAGCACCGATGATAGATAATGTTTGTGATCTTCTGTTGTCAGACCATACCTCATTCATTACAAGAAAAGAATAGAAAACATCACTTTGTTCAAGCAAGAATGTTCTCTGGAGTGACATTCTCACTCAGGCTTGGAATTGTCCTTTAAAAAACCGGATAAACTCAAAATAAAAATGTTATTACGTCAAGTTCACTTATGTACGAGGATTTAATATAAAATCTCTGAACAGAACATAGTAGACAAAAATGTTATGTCAGGTTCACTTATGTACGAGGATTTAATATAAAATCTCTAAACAGAACATAGTGGACATAAAAGTAAGACTTGAATCTACTTTATTCCAAAGTGTATTTCTTCAATAACCTGGTGATTATTGTGACCCTTTGTACCCTGACAGCCTCATTTGGCAAATCAAAATAAGAAAAAGAAATAAGGCAGTGAGGTGACTTTATGGTGCACACCTACAAGAAGCCCCCATTTCTTAGTCTCAACATAAACTCATGGCGTACAAAAAGTTTTAAAAATGTGTACAAAAAAGTGGAAAATGAAAATCTACAAATCAACTAAAAATATATTACTCTCGCCATAGAATTTTATTGGCATGGAAAGTGCGAATTTTTCTATAGTATCACAATACTGTAACAGTAACAAAAATGGTTTTGGTGCTTAGTCAAACAAAATGATCTACACATACCACAGAAACAGTTCTATAGAAAGGAACAGTACAGTAATGCTGTTGAAGTTAAAAAGGGGTCATTTTCCAGCCTTGGAGAAAAGTTTCATTTTCCTGGAGGACATATGTCCTGCACAAAAGAATGAAAAGTACAAATTATAAGGCTACAAGCGCAAAGTTTTTAAAAAGTAATATAATGCAAAACAAAAATGTTTAAAACAGGAGGATGGATCCGAGCCAAATACTAATTATTCACCACATTTTAAATTCCTATCATGTATGTGAGATGACCACTCACAGAGCAATTTTTCAAATTTCGTTGCAAAGACGACAAAATAAAACAGCAAGCAACTCCGATCTGATAGGGACCATCATCCACTCTCTGGGCTCGATATGTTGGTTACATAGTGTCATAGTGCTCACTCCAGGAGTTTTTCCCACTGCAGACTATTTCAAACTGATAGGATTATATCCCTCACTCCAACACCCAAGGCCTATTCTCTATAAATTCCAAAAACAAAAATAGAGTTTTGCCCCATGACATGATGATGAGCAGGAACACAGTGCCAGTCTTGGTTGCTACATTATATCTACTGGGGTTATCTAAATACTGCTACTTCAAGTATTTTTGGTATTTATGTGACATTATAATCACACAAGGAGCTGCCAAAAGCCTGTTTTATGTATCTATGTCCTGTCAATCCTTATCAAGGAGTTCCAATCAACAAGTGTTATCCTCTCTACTAGATGCACACGATAAGTAGGTTCATTTGAGAGAGAGAGGAGGGGGTGGGGGGTTAAAAAGAAAGTTGTACAAAATCTTTAAATAAACCAGATAATTGCCACCAAACAAATTTCTTTTATACTCAATTCAGTTCGTTCAATACCTCGAAAGAAGGAAATAACCAACAAGAATGCACAAAAACCTCTTGGTATGATTGTTAAAACTACAAGGTGACTTCATAAAAGTTATTCACAAAATTGTATGTGTATGACAAAGGTTGAGCAGTTCTTCCACAGTTTCAAACTTATTTATGTACACACAATTAAGCATTGCTGTTTTTAAGGCTCCTAAGATCTGCTAATCAACACCCTCCCCCTAGCTTTTTTTCTTAATAAATATATCATAATTTTGTATCACGTAAAGAACTTCAAATCATTTGCATTTTCTACACACCAAAGCAACCAACTATAATTCCTTCTATCGTAAATCGCTCTCCTAGCCCCCACCCCAAACAGGAGGTAAAATTTCATTTATAAAAGAGGAGGATCATAAAGCCAAGCTGAAATTTATCACCAACACATGTTGTTACGGTACCACACTAAAAAAATCAGCCTTTGAAATTGTAATGCATCTGATCCCCTATCATGGAAACTTCCAAGAAGACTCTAATTCAGCTGGCTTATCTCCCAAAATGAGTTCAGGCAAAAAACCCAAGACCTGGGAAAAATGAGAGGCAAACTTCTCGGTGTATTGATGGAGAGATATATTTCAACAGCCTAAACAGTCCCAGATTATTTTTGCAGTCAGTATTACATGTATGTGTTGTAGGCTGGTTGAATTGTATGTCAACAGCTATAACAACATGAAAAAACATAATTTGCTTCATTTAGTTACAAGCCCACGCAATAGAAATAGAAAAAATTTCTACTTTGTCCAAAACGTTTTTATAAATTTGTGTGTTCCATCTGTACATTTAAAAGGTAGCCGAATATATTTAAAGTAGTTAATCATTACTCATACATTTTAAGCTCCAATTGACGAAATTTCGAAACTTAGAGGTAGTGCAAAACAGATGTTAGGAGGGAAATTTGTATGTAACAGAGATGCAAAATGCGTTGTGCCTATTCCTTAAACACAACCTGAATAAATTACTTCTTACAACCTGTAAGTGAGTACAGCAAAATTGGAAAACCAGATGCTTGGAACAAACTGCCGGCTACTCAGACACATCGGAGGAACAATGCATCGTCATTTCCAGGAATGATGAACAACTACGACAGACACATTTCTCGCAGACTAGCATGGGGAAATATAATGCATCACGTTGTCGTTAACCATAATCCTGCCACACAATCTGAACCAAAGTCAGTACGGTAAACATGGAATAACTTTTTAGATTAAGCAAAAGAGAGTAAAAAAATAAAATAAAATGAAGTAGATTGGATAAATTTATAAATTCCAAAAATAAACGAATAGCCTTTATCTAACGAATGAAAAAAGAAATCGGGTTCAATATATAAAAATAACTCACTCTTCAATGTTGATGTCGCTCTGAGATCATTTTACAAAGTTGAACTTACGATGTACACAAATTTTAAGTCCTCTAGAAATTCCAATGCCAATAAAACTGATTAACAGTGAAATAACATCTGCTCGCAAACAAACAGTACAAAATCATTACTTTACGAATTATGCCAGAAATTCTGCGTGTTGCGTTTAAAAATACCGGTACTTAAAAAATCTAATGCAAGATTTTAAAAGGAAGCACAAATTTATAGTAATAGTACAACAAATATTAAATAAATTTTAAAAAAGCATATGTAAGGCAAGGGGACTGTTAGTCTTCAGTGTCCATATCATCAAAGCATCTCTCATCGAGCCATCTCAATATAAAGAGAAATTAACATCATCACTGTTGAGGGGGTGTTACAGACCATTTGACCGAACACAATCAAGCATTATTGTTCATGCCGTACGTTGTATTCTGCATTCCATTCATTTAAATAAAAAGGTAAATCTTCTACACTTCCACATCGACTTTGACAGATGATGAAGGATGAGCGATGACAATCATGGACGGCAACCCACGCTTGCTTGCAGGGATTTTGCAAGTCCGGCCCAGACATGACATCCGTTTAAACTGAGATGAATTAATCCAAAAGGAAAGCTGGAAACAATAAAAAACTCACTCATACATACAGCAACAACAATCGGCTCTAAAATTCTATGAAAACAAGTCTATTATACACATGATGGCAGTAACAGGAGTCATGAGCACACAAGAACCTCAGACATTACATTACACTATTTCTACTCGCATTTCTCTCTTGCACCTAAAATGTATTTTTATAAAAAAAAGCTTTGCTATGACGGACATGGAATATAATGAGCTTCACCACATCATGAGGTAAGAAAAGTAGCATACAACTAATAAAATACCAAATAAAACATTCTAGACAGTTGTTCCAACCATTGGGTGAATTCTCACTGCTTCAAATTGCTTATTTTTCTATACATTAACAAACTAACAATTTCATTTTCCCTTATTTGGCAACTATTGAGTAGCCTTTTCATATGAAACAATTTCTTGTCCTAGATCTAACATGATATATTACACTGAATCAAACATTTTTTGTACCCTTTAGTCAAATACAGCTAATAACTAGATTCTACATACATTCACAAGAAAACAATCTTCTGCTGATTCAACAAATAAAAAAATACATTGACAGCACGCTCCACAGACTACAATTATTACAACTTTGACATTAACATTTGCTTCCTAATGCCAATTGTTTCTTTTCAAACACCAACTTTACAGTACCAGTAGATCTCAATACAATATCAATGAGAGTATTGCTTGAAGTCTTTATACTTGACATTCTAGTCAACAGAGGGCACCATTCAGAATTGCGTACAGAAACAGTCAATACCATCTCAAAGGAAAAAAAAACCCAACTGCCTCTTCGTACTCTAGCACTTGGAAGCATGATGAACTCTTACATTCATGTTTCTCCCAACATCAATTGAACCACTGTCCAAATGATCGATACCCTTACTCCCAACCAGACTCTCAGTGGGACAGTAAGGAACTCCCCTTAGATATGGCATGGCCAGTACGTTTCTTTTGTCCCTTGACTAAACCATAAATTTTACTCAAAAGTCACAATAATCAGTATTACACAGTTCCCAAAGGAGCCTTATAATGAGCGTGCAAGATACCATGACAGTTGACAATGACTTGATTGATGTAGTAGTTGTACGATGACATTATTCTCCCTTTTTCCTTTCAACAGGAGATTTTGCAATATAAGTTGAATAGAAAAATTGGGCAAATAATATAAAATAAGTAAAGTACATGATAGATGAGTATCTCAAATTTTCATATGTTTGCTGACAAAATTCCCCTCGTCCCTTTATCTGGTAGATCCAAATGTTGATTGACACTCCGATGATCATCTGTAACAACTGTAAACTTGTTATCAGCATATTTACAAACTGAGGAAATCTAAACTTCAGGGCTCTCAGACAATAATAGGTGTACATGCAAGAGTGGACTGTGTAATTCATGACCATAAACCATCGTCCTGGAGCAGTATGATCTGTGTAGCTGTACCAGACATAGATCAGAACAGTGATGTGATGATACCAATGAAGAAATATGAGCCGCTGTTTCCTCAGTACAATGAACACAGTATCTCCCAACTCGTACACCTTTGAGATCGTAAACAAGAAAGCCCAGAAGCTGGTGACACCTTTGAAATAAGTTGGTACACACACGGAGTACTGCAGGCTGTGATTGGTGATTGAGGCTATGAGCTCTGGCATTGTTCTTACAGCTCCCATGATGCTGAAAACTCCGAGAAGTCCGCTCCAGAGGGCTAGAAATGGTCTCAAGTCATACCTAGGGCGAGTTTTCATCAGAAACTGACCACCAAACACAACGGTAACATAGATAGCAGAATAAGTGAAGCTGTCTGTCCACCGATCAAGCATGTACCGGAGGAATTTTGGCTCATACCACTCTCTCTCGAAAGAAAACACGACGCTGTAGTTGTGTACTCCTGGCTCCATGTTGAACCCCACAATACTCGTGTCAGTCGTGACTGAGGTCTGATGATGATGGTAGCAACTTCTTATAAAGTGGTTCTCGAAAACGAAAAATAGTCCACCGCTACAAATGAAATAAGCACAGTGAGAAGAAGCCACTCGCCAGGCCGCAGCCAACTCGCTTCTCGTATCGGTCACCCACCGGTCGATGAAAGAAGCTGAATGTAGGTATGGTGATGTTTGTGGATAGCCTTCCAGAACACGATTGGCTCATCTGATGAACTGAGAAGGTCTAACCAATCACAGCAGTCGTAACAAAACGTGACAATATGGCGACCCAGACAACGATGCGATGAAGAGTGATATGCCAGTTTGGCTTTTTGAGAAAAAAGAATGGAGAAAACGATGGCACCTTCTTAGTGAAGGAAAACCAGTGGTCATTCAATCGAGCGGCCTTTATCTGTTGTCTTTCTCTTTTGTTTGTGTTGTATTTTTTTTTCAAGATACACAAATTCACCCACCGTTACCACAGAAACATGAAAGGGGCATGTCTATGAAATTAACCGAGTGCAGTGTTCATGCGCCATACCAGGGGTTTGCAAAGATTTAAGTACAATGTATTGTAGACGTAGGCCTAGTATGTATTGAGCATTTTTCTATTTCTGTCAGTTCATAAGTACAAGATACGACTGAAGTGACCCATTAATGTCTAGCTTGGTTCTCCATTTAGTTTGTCGGCAGAAAAAAACTTATTATTATAGGTCTCATACGGGTAGGCCTTAGGCTTATTTGTCTTGGTCCAAGTCTTAAAAAAAAAAAGAGAAAAAAAGCCAGACCACAAATGCAGGTACGTGAAATTATTATGTTACACATACGGAGGTTATATTCTAAGGTTTTTGATTACTCATAATTTTTGTTTGCTCTTTCTCTCTCACCCCCCCCCCCCCTCTTTCTCTGTTTCTCTCTCTCTCTCTCTCTCTCTCTCTCTCTCTCTCTCTCTCTCTCTCTCTCTCTCTCTCTCTCTCTCTCTCTCTCTCTCTCTCTCTCGTTTCCGTCTCTGTCTCTGCCATTAAGCCATGAGTCTGCTGTTGTCGCAATTGTTGTATTTTTGTGCGTTGCGTTGCTATTGTTTCTATAGTAGATCTAGTCTAGATCTAGAAGTAGTATTCAGTTGTGATTGAATCTTGATTCTTTCTGGCACTTTTCAGGTAAGAACAGTTTGTTTCGCTAAAATTGAGAGACATACTAATTTCATATATGAATCCAAGGGAGGTCATTCTTATATTTATAATTAGACCTAGGCCTACCTATCTCCTCCAGTGTTATTTTTTGAGGGACAAGAAATTCGCGAATGATGTGATGATAACGATGTTCTCATACACAAGCTGAAATCCAACGAGTTCTGAAATCAAAAGGGATTTCTTGATCAAAAGTGAGTGTTGAACTGTTTTTTAAGTAAAAAATTAGATCGGTGATCTTATTGTTTCATTCGTTTAAGTCCACGATCCATTTGTTTACATCCAGGGAAGAAAATCCAGAAGTCTTGATGAACAAATACTCTGGAAGCGACCTTGTTGAATCCGAGCTTGCTGATTTAAGTGCTCGTTAAATCCGGGTTATTTTTATATTTATTATTGATTTTAAAGAAGAACAAAAACGGGGAATCCATCTCCTCTCGTTGAATCCGAGTTCCACTGTACCCAAAAAGAGGCAAAACAAACAAACCAACAAAGCAACAACAACAACAGAAAAATCCCTTCTTACACCCCTCCACCCCCCTCCTTTAAAAAAACCCCTGTTGAATTCCCCCTATGGCAGTCCTAAGCATAAAATCAGCCCCGGTTTGGACCTAAGAAGAGAATGATTTGCTTTCTTCATTTTGATAAGTCCTGGCTAAGACGGCCACTTATCCTTATGTTATCCGGCCACTTGTGTTATCCGGCCACTTTTCACCTTGACAATGGATGACCAGTTTACACAGGATTGACTGTACCTTTTAAGTTATAACTGCAATGATGGATGAGGAAGTTTAAAAAAACTTTTTTTCATACCTCTCTCTCAACTATAACATACTGAAGCATCTACTTGTGTCTAAGACTAAGAGCTTTAACGTTTGCATCCTTCTATCGTTAGTGGATTGGGTTTTATCAACAATTAGGTTGCCAGTTTGATGCCTTAACATGAAAACAAACGTTTTCTCTCCTCCCAACTGGTGAAATGTGAGAGTGTGCTCGTTGTATAGGTAGATGCTCAAATCATCATGGAATTGATAGACTGTTGTAGAGATCACCTTGAATTTTTATTTAAAAGTTTGCTAATTTCAATTGTAGTGAATTTACGCTAATTTTCATTTCTTTTTCTTTCAGTGAAGTTCCTGTCCATCCTCCAGCTGATCTGTGCCTGTGTGCTTGTCGGAGACTTTGGTTTGCATGGTGTGACCTCAGAAGATGCTGGATTAGACCCAGAGCTTCACAGTGAAGGAGTAGTTCAGAATGAACGTGATGGAGACATTGTGCACGATGCCATGGACAAGAATGTGCACAAGTCTGAGCTGAAAGAACCAGACTTCAGTGATGAAGATAGTCACAGAGATGATGTGACTCTTGATGTGAAGGAAAATGGTGTAAATGAACGTTCTGGGAGCAGTGAGGAAACGGTCAGTGAAACAGATGCCCAACCCCATGCCGCCAGGGATCAGGCACAGAGTGGTTCGCCTGATCATTGTGAATCTAAAAGTGACGAGAGTAATGGCGGAGGTGAGGAGGAAGAATGCAAGGGGAGAGATGGCTCTGATGATGGTCAAGCTGATACTACGAATGAAAGCGGTTCGGAGCCGGGTGACACAGTCGTTCAGATGAGTGTTGTGTCACCGTCGCTGCAGATGGTTGTTCCCGAGTCTGGGGAGAGCGGCTCAGTGAGCGGTGAAGACCAACAAGAATCGACCGATGGAGAAGAGGAGCAGCCTCGGTCAAAGCAGCGCTTCTTTCCCCTCCTGTACACGTTCCGGACACTCTTCACCTCCTTCTTAGCTGAGTTCACGGACGACAGCCAAGAGGCGGCGAGTAACTCGTCCGAGCCCTCGGGGGCAAACTCCACAGCTACGGAGTTGTTGGACAAGGACAATAACTCAACAGGGAATGGAACAGATACGGGGAAAAAGACAAGATTTCAGTGTGCTCCAAAGAATATCTCAGAAAATACCACAGGAGAGGTAAGGTGTTTATTAACCAGTAGGTTGTGTATGAGATAATAAGTATTGGTAAAGCAGATAAGACATAATGCAGCAACAAGAAAGATGTTGGTCTAGTTCTTTATGTTTCAAGTCCCAAAAGTACAGTTACCTCTATGTTACTAAATGGTTGTGCAGTTTTAATGATATTAGAATTTTAGTCAGTTGACTTACAAAAGCATGTCAATACTTGTTTTGAGTTGTTGAAATATTATTACTTAAAGTCATCATTAAAATTTCTTTAAAAATGGACCAACTAAATTTCTGTAATGACAAATTGACAGTTGTGTACAATTCATTTGTTTGTACACGCCTGTTTGTCTAAAGCTGCAGTGGAGTCTGCTTGAACTGAAATCTGCAGGGCCGTCTGATTTTCTTCTGTTTGACTGGATTTTTGGTTTAGAGAGGTTGCTCAATTGGAAGAAAAAAAATCAGGGGTTTTATTTTCTTTCAGTTTACGGATGTTTTCGAATTAACTGTGTACAGTTTAACCTTATCCATACGTCATGTTTTACTGTTGTATCCATGCGATGTGGGGAACTCTGTGCCACCACTTTCAAAAGAGAAAATTTACTCCTTAATCCCATCCGTAGCTTTGCATAGCAGTATGTCAAAATGATTTTTTGAAAAATACTGAAAGTTTCAAAGAGATCTTTGCACTAGAAGTATTCTAAAATGTGAAGCATACAACCGCGGGGGTACAAAATGACCCTAGGGCATACAGATAGGGTTAAGCGGATTCCACTATATCTACAAAAGAATTATAATAAAAAAAAAAAAAAAATGAATACCTTCTCTAGGTAAAAGTTGTGAACAGTACAGAGCTCCTCGAGATTCTGAACTTTAGCAAGAACCAGAAAGTGTCGACGTGTGTGTTGGTGATGTTCTACGCCCCCTGGTGTCACTTTTGTGCTCGCACAGCCCCACACTACAACGCTCTTGCCCGGGCCTACCCTCAGCTGGATGTGCTGGCAGTGGACACTTCTCATTTTAGCTAGTAAGCAAAAACATTTTTAAAATTAAAATAATGAGATAAAATAATTATATATAACAATATATATATTAAGAAAAATATTTTTTGTTTTGTTTGGAGGGGGTTGGGGGAGGGGAAAGGGGGGGGGGGGGGGATTTCGTTGGTGCTCTCCAGTGTTCATTGCTCTGAGGCAGGGAATTCTGATTTTCTGATTAACTTGTAAAAACCATGGTACCGGTACCAGTAAGAGATACGGGGAAGGGTATCAGTTGCACAGCAGTGAACATGCGCTATTTGTCACAAAAAGCACTTTGTTTATTTCTCAAAATGGAAAATTATTAGGCTTTCCTTTCTTATTTTTTGTTTATTTGTCAGAATAAAAAGTTATTAGGCTTTCCTTTCTAATTTTTGTGGGCTGAATCTAAAACTTACTTTCAGATACTCTGAGATTTTTTTTCCCTAGTTCTTTTGTGTTGTTGAATGTTTTTTATTTACTACATTCTTTATAAAGTTTTTAAATTAATAAGATGAATATTTGGAATAATTTTCTTTAGTCAGAACGCAAGGTTTCATGTTACTGTTGTATGTTGTACTGTATTGTAAAGCGCTCAGAGCCTGTGTACTTTATTCAGGGTTGAGCGCTATATAAATGTCATTTATTATTATTATTATCATTATTATTATAATGTTGTTATTTTTAACTAAAAAAAAAAATTCTGTCCTAACCTGCACATATGACCTTTGACCCCTAGTCTGAATGCAAGATTCGGGACGGTAGCTGTTCCAAACGTGATGCTGTTCCACTCCCGTTCGGCAGTGCGCTTCAACCACTCCAGCAGAGTCCTTGACAACTTTATAGATTTTGTCACCAACAACACAGGCAAGTCTCAACCTTTTACAGATATAAAATATGTTGTTAACTAATAACCGCTTGTCTGTGCATGTGGGGGGGGGGGGAGGGGTGAGAGGATGCAAGCATCCACGGGTGGCGAAACCAAAGATAGTACAGCCTACGGTAAGATGCTGCAGCTCCCTCTTTCCCTCTGTAAAAAAAAACGTAGCACGCGTAAAATATGCCACGCCCCCAGCAAGCGTGTGACTGATCCCCGATGGCTTGGCCCTGGGCTTGTTGGATAGAGTAGAATACGAGAGTGTCCTAGTTAATTCTACTCTAGGGCCCATTCTAATCTAGATCTAAATAATTATATAGATCTATCTACCAAACTAAAGTATTGATCAACGTATTTCAATAATTTATCTAGATCTAAATTATTTGAAAAGGAAAACAGATTAAAAAATAGTCTCACTTCGGTAACGAGTGATAAGATCAGAGGATAAATCTAGTGTACCGGGTGCATAGGGCTCATGATTTACTAAATCTAGATCTAGATATAGATCTAGGCCTCGACATTGACAATCACGAAATCTAGGTCCAGAATATATCCAATGCAATATTATTGATCGTATTGATGACAGGATCTTCAGGAGTATTCATTATTAGAAATAAAAAAATAGTGTCAATTAGTATTAGATATACCAGGGAACGCTGCAATAGCAGAATGGAGAGAGCGAGAGAGAGAGAGAGAGAGAGAGAGAGAGAGAGAGAGAGAGAATACAACAAAGAAGTATTATATTATGTCTTATTAACTCGCTCTCTCTTTTCTAAGGGCTCACGCTCTCCTAGCCTTGACAACGGGGTTAAAGTTTACGACACACTTTCCCCAGTGACACTGTCCCCTATGCACTCATTGGACCTTTGTTAGGTGTTTTCAATTTTCCTCGACTCCACAGCTGATACCAGCTCATCATAGATGGAATAATAATATGCTTGAGGTGCTGTGTGTGCTCCTGAGATTTAAGTGTTATAAATCACGTCGAACCACTTTTAAGGCAACTTTTTCATTAGATGAAAATTAGTTAGAAAAAATTTGGAGGGGAAACGGTTTCATCCCCGCCATCCAGGAGAATCTAAATCTAGAGCTAACTTAGAATAAAGAGATGGAAGACAAAGTTGATACTCCTCGTTTAAATTGTTCCTAAAATACCGTGGCTCACCGTGAGTATAGCAAAATCATCACTGTTGAGCTCATGGCGCTTGATTTTTGGTAGTAAAGAAGTGGAAGCAACCTAAGCCCCACCCAAATCTTGGTCCACCCACCCCCACTGGATGTTTGTGGAGGTGGTTTTTGTAATGTACATGAAGATGAGTTGATGATGATGATGTGATGGTGGCCGTAATGATGATAAAATGAACAGAAGTGGTCAGAACATATAGTGTGTGTGTGTGTGTGCGAGTGTGCGTGCATGTGTGCGTGCGTGCGTACAAGTGCGTATGAGTATGTGTGGTGAGAGAGAATTGAATTGAATTAGGCTTTATTGACTTTCGAGGTCAATGGCCCATACGTCATAAAAAGTTACAAATTAATATGCAAAATACTGATCTCTCTGTGTTGTGCTAAAGAACAAATTACATAATAACCTACAACACAGAAAACATATAGATCTATATAACATTTGCATTTAGAATCTAGTTCTACACCTAATGGAATGGACCCACACACAACAAAGTACAGAGTACAAAGCATTGGTCATAGTCAAGGATGCATGATGCAGAGACTAAACAAAGCTTACAAGCTGGACTCTGATCTCTCTAGTTTAGCTCGAATCTAGACTCTAGATTAAAAAATCAATTTCACATTGTCTTTCCATTTTTCGTTCTTTGGGAATCTGAGGAAAGACAATTATTTAGTTTTTCCTCTGGAATTAGAACGTCCGATCGCTGAACAAAACTGGCCAGCTATGCCGACAGCATGAGCGTTGCGAGTCTCTCGCCGTGTTTGTTTACATACTGTCGCACGCTTGCCGCTAGTAGTCGACGTGCCCCACAAAATTGGGCCACTGCAACATCTTACCGTAGGCTGTACTATCTTTGGCGAAACTACCTTACGAAAAACTTGCCCCTCTCTCTGTAGCTGATTACGTTGCGTTCCTGAATTTGGTAAAACTATCGCTTTTTGTCATTTTCCTTTTTATTCTCATAATGTACAAAATAATATGCGTTGTACACACAGACTAATGATCACTAAAATCCCTTGAAAAGTGAACGTCATAGAACTAGAATTGAAAGTAAAATGGCTTCCGTAATCTATGTTCACAGTTTAAATTTGCTGGAAGTAATTGCAGTACTTTTTTGAATTTTTATTGTAAATCTGGTTCCAGAATCAAAGGCTTAATGTTTTATTTGTAAAGTTTTTCATCGGATACAGGCAGAATACTACTGTATGTTTGTCATATATATAATAATGGAATTCTATCAGAAAGACAAATGCATTTTGACCCTTGGTCTGTCCAGGTAATCAAAACCTGGGAGAAAAGTGTCAGAGCTCACATGTATTCAATTTGCCAAGGAGACATGCCCACCTGTTACAGGATCAGTTTCCCTCAGCCAGGAGTTAATAGCGAAAGCTTCCACAAGCTCAGTGTTATTAACTTTGCTGATTTCCTTTGGAGCTCTGACTTTGAATTAATAAGCTGGGTCTACATTTTCTTTAGTTTTAGTGAGAAGAATTTTATCATATTTTATGGCACCTTGCAACACAAGTCATATAGGCCCAAGTGTCGAAGATTAGAGGTGTTGGTAGAGAGTAACATGCAAAGAAAAGGAGATATTAGGACCATAGACATTTGATAAGAAAAGAGGAGCAAACCACACCGGAGCACGCACCAACTACCTGTACTTTTTCGAGAGCACCCTAGAAATGAAGTAGGCTTACAGTATGCTCATTCGTGAGTGATTGAGTTATGGGCAAAGGTTGGGGTTTTGTTGCTAAACTGACTGCAGTGTGATCACTGTTAGCGATACCTTAGTTCCTCTCTGTAGTGTACTTTAACTTTAAGTGTTAATCTCTTAAAAGTGACACAAAATTTACTTTGGTAAAATGGTACAAGGTGTCAATAACCCTTTTTAAATTAAAAAAACAAACAAACAAAAAAAACAACTATTAATGTTTGCATAAAAATTTAAGACTGCACTGATATGTTATCATGTGCTTTTGTAGCAGAAAATAGGTTTCCACAGCTGAAAATGAAATCTGCGGGACTGCTGGATTTTTTTCCAGTTCAGTCGTGTTTTCAGATTAGAGAGGTTCTCAAGTAGAAAAAAAAAGGGAGGACTTATTTTCTTTCAATTTATTGATTTTTTCGGATTAAATTAAACCTGTTTTAGTTTAAGTGGACCTATTTAAAAGGTTTAAATTTAAAGCCCTGGACGTAAGTTTTTCAGGGAGATCTTGAGTTGATCAGTTTCATCTGCTCACAGATGGATGTTTTGATGAACTTTTTTACGTCTTTTTCTATTTTATTGCACTGCAGCAACAACACACACCCCCCTCCCCCCCCCCAATTCCTAAGTAATGAAACATATAGCTTCAAATTAATTCATTGGTAATTTCTATCCATCGAAAAAATAGAAAAAGAAGCTTTAACTTGACTGTCTATCCATCTCAAAAATTTTTTTTAAAAAATCTTCCAACTCGACTTTTCAACATAAACTTTTTCCTTGTCTGTTCTGTCAGGAATGGAGCCCAACGTGTCTGTGACGGTGGAGCCGTTTGACTACTTCGGCCCCCTGCCCAGTACAGCGGTGCGGGGGCGGGACTGGCTGCTGTGGCTGGCCTGGGCCTTCGTGTTGTCGTGCTCGGGCTACGGGTTTGTGTGCAGTCACTACGGACAGGGGCTTATCACACGACTACGGGTGTTGTGGCAGGAGCATCAGCATATAGAGTAGAGGAGGAGGAGGTGGTGGGGTATAGAGAGGGAGGGGGGGGGGAGGAAGGAGTGAGAGAGAGATGGGGAAGGAGATAAGGAAGAAGGGAGGGAAGTGAGGTGGTGGATGATAAATAGGGAGATAGATAGAGATAAAAGATAGGGGTGCTGTAAGGAACGGATAGTGATATTAGGGTAGGGTGTAGTAAAAAGAATAAAGCGGGGTTATGCGTGGCGTGAGTTGCTACAAAAGCAAAACAGAAAAAAATTATAGAGCGGCGTCGGAATGATGTAAAAAAATTCGCAAAGCTGAAAAAAAAATTGTGATCTTGAAGGCCTAATTTTTTTAAGGCTATGCACACTGTGACATGAACATTTGGATTGACGCAGCGGGTACATTGAGTACATGTGTGTGTGTGCGTTGAGAGAGAGAGAGAGAGAGAGAGAGAGAGAGAGAGAGAGAGAGAGAGAGAATTTAATTTAATTTAAAATAAAATATTAATTGAGAGAGTGACTGAGCAAAGGAGGGAGGAAGGAAGAACCAATGCATATGCAGAAGACTGACTGGGACCTGAGCTCAGACAGAAAGGAAGCATTTTATTGAGCTTACAAGAAGTACATGTTTGTGAAAAGAAGGAGAGAAAGAGAAATAAAAGAAATTGCTATATATATATATATGTGTGGAGAGAAACAGAAGAGAGAAGAGACTACCAATTGTGATAAACAATGAAAGAATGCAGAAACATTTTGACACAATTGTAAGAATAGGTCTGGTTTCATACTGGGCTGTTTAGCCTATATTTTGTCATGCGTAAAATGTTTGCATTTAAAAATATTTTCATGACGTGTTTTTGGGAGGCAGAAAAAGTTTTGCTTGTCTGACTGGTGAGTGGCGAGAGCCTGTCACACACAACTAGATGCAGGCTTGCCAACTGTCCTGAATTTCCCAGGATTGTCCAGGATTCGGCAGTTGGGGAAACCAGTCTCACTTTATTTGATTTTGTTTGTTGTTTTGTAATCTTAAGTTATATTATAACATTAACACTTTGCCATCACAAGGCTCATATAGTGAAAACCCTTGCTATCAAAGGCATTTTGGAGAAAATCCAAAGAAAGTGGGTGGTACACATCGCCAATCGGCGAGATGTGACGGCAAAGGGTTAAGTGTCCCTAGTTGGCTTTTGAAAAAGTTGGCAAGCCTGTGCTGCCATAAGCTGATAAAACCAATTTTTTCATTTTAGTACCAACATTTTTTATATTTGCTAAATCGGAAGCCTGATCAGTTACCCTATTTGTGTGGAAAAAAATCATTGTGAAACTGTGACTAGTTTTTGAATAAATTAGAATTCAAATGTCAAAATCACTCTATTTTTAAATGGTTATGCCGACAAAAAACCCCCTCTTTTTCTCGAAACTGCTGTGAAGCAAAAAAAGGCGTTTTGTCAGCTGACGGCAGTGTAGCTGTTTGTTCGTGAGAATGTGGTGAAATGGCTTGTTGTACGTGTTCATTCCTCAGAGCTGGCAAATTTGATTTTGATCTCAAGAATTAATTTGTTAGTGTTAGTGTTAGTAGCTCTAATAAGCTCTCCCTTTAATAATTCCCTCAATGGGAATGGTCCTGGTCCCAGTGTAAGATTTTTTGGTGTAGGTCCACTTGACAGTCTACGGTGACTATATGTGTGTGCGCCTAGAGAAAGGTACCAAAAGTCGCCCAATACTCAGAGTTATGTAGTCCCTTGAGGAAATTCTCTTTTCTTCTTGTTCGCTATCTTACAATGTTTCCACCTTGGAATGAGGTAAACAAAGTTCTTGCACTGGTGAACCAGCCGTATAGTATATTAGAGCGAAATAGAGTCCGCTACGGGTTCTGTGGGTTAATACAGCTCTTATATTATGACAGTTGTTATAAATGAAATACAAGAAGAAAATGTCTCGTATTGTGTATTGTAGACTAGAGGACTGTCAAATGAAATAGTTGTCAGACTGGTCTGGTGGTGGACTGTTGAGTAGAACAGAAACATTGCGGTGGACTGTTAAAGGCACTGGCACGCATTTTTCCTCCCCCCAACATAATTCAATTTTCCACGTTTTGTGAAGCAATGCATTGTTGTCTTTGAATCCTAAAAAATAAAGATCTGAAAAAAACTGTCAAGTTCCATGAATTTGTGTGAGAAATGGAGTCTGAGAGTTTTTCTGCCTCTTGAAAAACAAACTTTTCAGGAGTCAACGGTTTCACCATCAATGTTGTTGGTACAAGTGTCCAGATGCATATATTCCTTTCAGATGCTTTTCACTTTTGTCAGCTTTTATGTTCCTTCTGGATTTTTGTAAAATAAATTCCTATTTGATGAACTGAAAGCTGTGTTGTTGCATGCTTTCTCAAAATTAGAAATTGCAATAGTATCCAAGCATTCCGTTTTTCCCCTTCTCTTCTGTTTACAATTTGATATTTGAGGGTCAGCTGTAATTGTGCATTTGTGTTTAGAAGAAAAGGCATACGGAGCTTGGGTCTTGTCACTTTTTCTTTTTTTTTTTTATAGTAGAGGGTTTTACGGCGCTCGCAACTGCATAAGGTCATATGAGCGCCAAGGGGTGGGTGTCAACAGAGAAGTCTTTACACAGGGAATCAGACTTAGACTGCTCACCTCTCTTGCTTCAATAGCACAAGGTCTGCATCGACTATCGAGGCACCCCAAAATAGCAGGTCACAAGGGAGTGACAAACATACAAAAGAAGTAGAGGAAAAATGACAATAGTAAGGATCAGGAAAGAAAAAGCAGCAGTTCCCTATTGTAGATCAGGCACCGTTATGAGCGTGACATGAGTCAGCCCATTTACAATTCTACTATGCTTGAACGAAAAATGTCCCCCCTTTGGGAATGGCCTAAAGACACTACAGTCAGTGGCCCCTCTCTAACCTGTTGAATTTGGTAAAGTTTGAAAACCAGAGGACAGCTGCTTGTGTGGGATTTAACCAATGCTCATTTATTTCAGGCAAAATATCCCATTCATAATATAATATGCAGATTCATATGAATTGGGAAGAAGTGGCAATTTGACATTTTAGCAGAGATTGATGCAGCAGAATGACAAGTTTGGTCGTTAAAAGTTAAAGAGTCAATATGAACACAGCCAGATAAAAACGGCGAATGTGCTGCTAACTGTCACGTTGGGTCCTGGGCTAGTGGTGAGGTATGTGAACTATGTGCTGCTAACTGTCACGTCGGGTCCTGGGCTAGTGGTGAGCTATGTGAACTATGTGCTGCTAACTCAAGTAACTGTCACGTTGGGTCCTGGGCGAACGGTGAGGTATGTGCTGTGTGGTGTGAGTCCAGGGCATTCAGCAAGTCTGGCAAAATACTGTCCAGTACATTCATCCCTGCACTCGTAGCTCGCAGGCCTCTGTAAATGGTAGAAAGAGGAAAGTCTGAACAATACAGGTGAAAGACATCACTTAAGCCTATATTAACTCACTGCCAACCCATGCCACATATTGTGCTGCGGTCAAAGTTCTGTTTTTACTACTGCCTACCTTTACCGTTCCCCCTGCGGTTTCATTTTCAGAAGTTATCTTAGAGTAAGTTATAGTGTTCTCACCACAGCTATATTCGCGTCAGTTGGGTCACAGTGGTTTTTAACATACATGGTTGGTACTCACTCAGGAGATGGCAGTGGAAATATGGTTGGTAGGCAGTGAGTTAAGAAGTGGGGGGGGGGGGGTTACTCTGTGAAATAAGATCCTTTTTGGACCCTATTTTGAATTTGAAACTGCACCATGGCTAAAATAGTCAAAAGTCGGGAAAAAGTGGAAAGCAAGATCTTGAGATAATGGAACAACAAGGGCAAAAAACTTTCAGGAACAAAGCAATACTCACTCCTATTTTGGTAAGTGTACAAAAGATACGTATAATTTATAAAAATGAACTTACATTTTGTCCAACTCTAATAAGCCATTTTGAAAATGCTGCTGAATTTCCATTGACTCTGCAAGTATTTCCATCATGTTAGTCTCAGGGCTAACTGACTGCCACATCTGGAGGAAAAAAGCAAACCATTGCAAAAAAAACCCCGTTTACTAACACGTATCAAATGTACAGAACAAACATTATGCATTTATAGTAAGAAAGGTGGGATAACCATTGGCAAATCATAACAGCAAATCCGAGACGGTATACGGATTTAGTTTGCAATTAGCATGAGAGGAAAATTTAGAAGTCAATTATTGAAATGTGATCAGGATTTCTTTCTTTTCTGCCTCACAAAGAGACAGTAAATTTTTTTTATGCCTGATTTTCAATCTGTTGCCATCTGCCTTGGGTACAGAATAGCAATAATGTCGACAACTGTCACCATTTGCCCTTGTGTTTGTTTTCATGGGTACGATGTTCTTCTCAACATAAAAATAAAAAGATCGCTTTGAAGGTGAAGCGCATGGCCCGGTATGAACAGTAAAGAAAAGGAAACTCTGGCATAAAGAAGGCAGAGACGATACATCACTGTAATCGTCTCACAGTACATCTGAGCTCAGACATTTGTGGGTCCCATTCTACCAGTAAAGGTTTATTTTTAACCCCCCTACCCTCAAACCTCTATGTAGGTTTTTAGTTTTAGTAGAGGTTTTACGACGCTCCCAACTGCATAAGGTCATATGAGCTAAAGGTGTTACAAGAGAGTAACAAACATAAAAAAGAAGAAGGGGAGATAAGGACGATAGATGTTTGATCATTGATAGGAAAGAAGGAGCAGACCATACCAGAGCATCCGCTAACCACCCACCCATGTAGGTTTTGTTAAGTTTGTTTCAACCTCAGAACCACAAGAAGTGAAGGCATACAATAGAAGTTCATAATGCAATTAACAAGTACTGAAATAGACATTACAAGTGAGGGCTCAATTTGTAAGGTTCAGCTTGTTGAAAGTATTGTTACTGTTACCCTTGGAAAAAGATTTAAGGTTGAGCTTGTTGAAAGTATTGTTACTGTTACCCTTGGAAAAAGATTTAAGGTTGAGCTTGTTGAAAGTATTGTTACTGTTACCCCTGGAAAGAGATTTAAAGTAGAGCTTGTTGAATTTACCCTTGGAAAAAGATTTAAGGTTGAGCTTGTTGAAAGTATTGTTACTGTTACCCTTGGAAAAAGATTTAAGGTTGAGCTTGTTGAAAGTATTGTTACTGTTACCCCTGGAAAGAGATTTAAAGTAGAGCTTGTTGAAAGTATTGTTACTGTTACCCTTGGAAAGAGATTTAAGGTTGAGCTTGTTGAGAGTATTGTTACTGTTACCCTTGGAAAAAGAAACCAAAAGACAAAGTGGACAACAGCTCTACAATTTCATTGTTCATTGTTTCAGGAAGCAACATCCCTGCTCTCAACAACTACATCACTCAAATATCATTACCTGGTTGGAGATGCCCCATTTTGTCCGCAGGCCAACAATCAAAAGTTCCTCCAGTCTGAAGATAAAAAAAATAAATTATCAAAGAGGTGAAATAACTGTTGTCATCCTGCCCTTATGAGTATGAGTGTTCATGGAGACAAAAATGCAATCACTGGAACATACAAGACAAAAGACTGCAAGTTCGTACAATTTTTTAAAAATTTTATATATTTTTTTTTATAGTAGAGGGTTTTACGGCACTCGCAACTGCATAAGGTCATGACTCATATGAGTGCCAAGGGGTGGGTGTCAACAGAGAAATCTTTACAGGGAATCAGACTTAGACTGCTCACCTCTCTATCTTCAACAGCACAAGGTCTGCTTCGACTATAAAGGCACCCTAAAATAGCAGGTCACAAGAGAGTGACAAACATACAAAAGAAGTAGAGGAAAATGACAATAGTAAGGATCAGGAAAAAAAAAGCAGCAGTTCCCTGTTGTAGATCAGGCACAGTTATGAGCGTGACATGAATCAGCCCATTTACAATTCTACTATGCTTGAACGAGAAATGTCCCCCCTTTGGGAATGGCCTAAAGACACTACAGTCCGTGGCACCGCCCCGGGGGGTGTACAATTTTAGAGCTATTGAAAATCTAAGGATAAGAAGACACAACTAAGCACAACAAAGTAATTTTCATCATTCTTAAACAGTTAAGTAATGAAGTATGGAAAAATGCTACTGGTACCTAAACAAAAGCTATTCCAATTTTTAAAAAAATATCATGACAGTTGACAGCCTTTGTAGCTGGGATGACTAAGATAACATACACCTACAACAAAAAGATCAATTTTCAAAATCAATAAAGTAGCCAAGCTAAAGAAGAAGCTCAAAGGTTACTCACTGTTGTATGACAGACAGAGGTGTAGCTTTTCTGGTGGCGTGCCCAAATTTTTCCACCTCCCACATCCAGTCAGGTGGCTCCAACGTCTGGACTCGAGCCTCATGCAGCTGTCGGTCGCCTGGCCTGAATCTGCCATGGGCTCCTGGCGATGTTGAGTACACGAGAATTTAAAACCATAGATTATTGTTTGAAACAATCGGTTGCATTATTTTTTCTATATGGTGAACTGAACTTGTACGGTTTTAAGCCCCCGTTGACTCAAATTAGACAAACGGGCCAACTCGGTCTGAGTAGGATAAAACATCTCAGCAGACAGATAGAGCCACTTGATAAAAACGTTCCCATTCGGGAATGTAGCTAGCTCATGCCTACTGCATACACTGGCAAAGATCCTAACAATTACAACACCAATACAAGTGACATGAAGGTAAATTGTAAATGAATAAACTTTCCGCAAAGTACCAACACCGTTAGCATCACTAATCATTGTTATTATAATTATGATAATTTTGTCATAGAATTAAAAAAAAGAATTTTATAGGCCCTGTTGTAATGGATGTTGCTATTGATTCGGAAGCTACTAAGCTTTCACTTTCACCCTTCTATCTAAAGTCATGGTGAAGAGAATACTTCTGCTTCGGAACTTTGCAGCCTCAGGAGAAACAAATCCAAAAAAGTTTGTTTGGTTTTGTAAAAACATATATATATATATATATATATATATATATATATATATATATATATATATAGGTAAAAAGCTAGTTAAATAACAGAAAGCAGAGCACAGCTAAACCACCTGGTCCAATGCCAATGTACGGCCGACCGGTCCAGTAAGACAAATTGTGTTGACCATAGCAGCCCTGGGGAGACAAGACAAGGGGAACAATAAAGTCACAAAGAAGTACCGGTAGTCCTACATGCAGAGAACATTAGTATTAAAATTAATTCTTGAGTTAATTATTTTCAGATAAAAAAGTGGTTTTTTAAAAATCTTTGACCAATATAAGAGGGAAGGCGGAAAATTGATAAAATAATTGTCATGCCTTGCTTAAATATGAGTTTTCTTCATCGCTTCAACACCATTTGAGCCAAGTTCACTTAATTAAGATAACCATTCTTTTCGAAATTTCAGTTTGAGTTTGTTTGAGTAAAGAGAAGCACAACATCTACACGATAATGGTCATTTATGGCTTGGAAAAGGTAAGGCAGACAGACAGACAGACAGAAACAGCAGTTTTTAACCTGTTTTTAATAGCATTAATGAACAACAAACACACAGTATCGTTCCTTTATTTAGACATACAATTTATCTCACCTCTCTGGCAAAATTAGAGACTTCATATCTTTCAAATCCGTTGTCAGCCAAAATCTGTCAAAATAATAAAAACAGAGGCAGTCAAAATATGAAATACCGTAGCAATGTAAATATTTAATTAGATCTTAAAAATCTAAAAAAACAGTCTACAACCACTGTAAAAAGCAGCAAAAAATGTTCAGTCATGTCAACAATCACTTCAAGTTCCGCATGTCGTGATGAACGTTTCTTGAAATAAAGACAACTAGGGTGAATTTTCTATTACTGAGTACAAATAGATGATAATTGTAACAGCAGTGCTCGGGGCAGAAGCACTATCACCACCATTCCTTTTCATCTTATATTATAGTCTTTTCTTTCATGAAAATGTGCAGTGGAATAAACTGAAATAGTGCGGACTGCTGGATTGTCATCAGTTTAGCCCTGTTTTTGGTTTAGAGAGATTGTCCAACTTGTGGCGAAAAAAAATCTATTTGTGAGGCAGCGTGGTGGAATCAGGCTCTCGTCAAAATAATCAAAATGAAGAAACTTGCTTTTTTCCGCAGGTTTGTGAATTTTTATCAAATTTTTGTTTTTGGCTCAACACCTTTCATGCCTATTAAAGAACTAATTTCTGTGTGGATTTTTCTGAAAAACATTGATTCAATTTTCAGTTACCACGGACTCTTAAGCTAAGGAAATAACTATCTTTTGACGGCATTTTCTCACTTATTTTCCCTCTGAAAACAGATGACCCCCACCTCCTTCTTTCGCAAATATCTCGACTTGTATTCAAGATAAATGGATATTTTTAAAATCCAAATAAAGACAAGTGAACAAGCTTTAAGATGATACCAATAACTCTACATGCCCAAAAATTTACGAGAGCCTGATTCCACCACGCTGCCTCACATTTTCTTTCAGTTTAACGCTGTTTTCAGATCAAGTGTGTTCCGTTTAAGCGAACTTCACTGTAGCTCCCAGGTGGGAGTTCCTTCATTTAGCATCTTGTCGGCAAGCAAATACACGCAGTAAAAACTCTGTACTGTAACAGAAAAATTACACTTTAAACCTATGACAAATTGTGTCTATGTCAGTTGGTTGTAAACGACCAAGACAAATTTCTCCCCGAGAGATGAGTAAAGACTGTCATTGCATTGTAATTTTCATTGTCTATAGAAAAACTGCCACTTCTCACTTGAACAGCTTGCAGGTACATCTCCTCCATGTGTTGGTCATTAGGAACACTCTGGGGGCAGACGAAAGAACAGCTATTTTTTTTTATTTTTTTTTAAAGTAAGAGTTTTACGGCACTTGCAACACAAAAAGGTCATATAAGTGCCGAAAATTCGAGATGTTATAAGAGAGTAACAAACATAAAAAAGAAGAAGGAGAGATCAGGACGACAGATATTTGATAGGAACAAAGGAGCACACCACACCAGAGCACCCGCCAACCACCCGCGGAACAGCTATGGTAGCGGGATAATAAAGCAAAGGGAGAATGCAAGATTGTCATATTCAATTCAACAGATATACAATCTTGAGAAAAGAGCATGAGAAATTTTGGACGCAGATTCATTTTAGCAGACGAGTGACAACTGACAAATAACCTAGTATTAAAACTAAAGCAGCCCTTTCAGCCACCCTGAGAAAAATAATTTTGAAAAGAAAGGAAAGAAGACATAGGGTACACAGTAAAAACAGGTTCTTAGGTGGAGAACACTACACTAATAAAACAATGCAGCAAAAAAACCCCACCCCCAAAAAAACAAAAACAAAAAACATGCCTATCCAACAAAAACATACATTCTATCAATACACTGCCTACTAAGAATTTTTAAACAAGAACTTATAACATTTTAATTGAAATATTGACCAAAATTAAGCCGTGCTGTAAAATGTGAATGCAACCAACTCATGTTTCGCGTGATCATGTGACCTTATGAGGTTGAGAGAGCCGTAAAACTCTTACTAAACTAACACACTGCCAATACACGTACTCAATAAATATTATTATACTTTACGCTTTCAAAGATGAACACACACTCGTAAGTCCTATCTCACGAGCAACCCATTTTGGGCAGCTAGGAGTGAAGAGTCTAGAACTAAAACATGACAAAGAAGTTTCTCAAATGCTGCCAAAAGTCCCCCCCCCCCCCCAGAGGAACTCACTGCTTGCCCTGACTGCACAAGTTTAAAGAGCTGCGTCCCTCGCTCCAGTGTCAGCTGGTACAGTGAGATGTGCTTGTCACACACACCGAGAATCTGTATGACACACAGTACATAATACAGATTATATTATATTATGTTATGTTACGCCATATAATGTCACATTACATTACAATCTACTGTATTATATCATGTTGTATTACATTACATTTAAAATCAAATAAAATTATATCATATCATATTATAACATATCCTACCCTACCATGATACCATACCAGATCATATATCATATCATATCATATCATAATTTTTCCTCTACTTATTTTGTATGTTTGTCACACTCTTGTGAGCGCTCTAAAACCTCTACTAAAAAACCCACCAAATATCATATCATATCATATCATATGCACATTATCTTATATCATATATTATCATAATAATATTATGTTAAATTATTATATTATATATATATATATATATATATATATATATATATATATATATATATATATATATTATACAGTGGAACCTGCTCTAGCACCTGTTCAAGACAACTACCCGTCGTCAAAGAGAAAAGTTGGCATCTCAGTATTCTTAAACAGGTGGTCCTTTTGAACAATGTCATCATAATGTAGAAAAATGTAAAGGGGGATGTGGGAAGTTTTGGTTGTACAGGGGATTGTCTTGGACAGGTGGATGTTAGAGTTACAGAGAGCAGGTTTGATTGTACAGTGCAGCTTCTCTATAACGACATCGACGGGACCAGGAAAAAAACGTCGTTACAGAGAGGCAACCAAGAGTATTATCAATATAAATACAAAATCGGGACCTGGGCACCATGTCGCTATACAGAGGACGTTGTTATATCGAAGGTCGTTGTAGAGAGACTGCACTGTACATCAACTGATAGACAGAAATACCAATAGATGGAGAGACAGACTGGTAGACAAACAGAAAGATGAATAGATATATATAGACAGGCAGAAAGAGAGATAAGCAGATAGGTAGACAGCTAAAGATAAAGAGAAAAAGAGAGAAAGAGACTGATGGACAGATGATAGAATTAGATGGACAGACAGTAAGAAATTTAAAAATATTGGTAGGTAGATAAGTAGACACTTGAAATAGAAATAGTAACAGTCAGCTGGGAGAGACAGACAGCCGGACGGACAGACAGACGGACGGACAGACAGACAGACAGAGGGAGAGACAGACAGACAGGCAGACAGACAGAAAGAAAGACAGACAGACAGACAAACGACAGAAGGATGGACAGACAGACAGACAGACAGACAGACAGACAGACAGACAGACAGACAAAGGGAGAGACAGACAAACAGACAGACAGAGGCAAACACTACCACTCACGTGGTTCAGTTCTCGTTGCCACATCTCCACATCTTGACCCGGCCAGCCAAATATTAAATCAACAGACACCTGGTTTGGGAACAGCTTTTTAGCAGCCTCCAAGCACCTTAGAAATTTAAGACATTTCACAGTTTAAATTTCTTTGAAGGATTTGATGTTTTGCTGATAATCACACGTAATAATAATGGTAATATTAAAAGTAAATGTCTTACGCCCTTCTTTATAACAATTTAGACCATATAGGAGGATGTAGACTGCTTCTCAGAAAAGAGCATCCTCTTATGAATTTCTTTTTTGGTGATATCATAACTCTTTACATTTACAGATAACCTCTAAATTAGAGCAGCAGCAGAACTACTCACTAATATTTTAGTAATAAGATTGTAAAGCGCAAAGAGCTAGGTGTTGAGTGGGAAATTGTACCATAAAAATGCCATCCATTTAATTGTAATCAAATTTCATAAAAATCACAACGGAACGTGGAAGAGTTTAGAAACATTTGTCGATTTGATTCACTATCACACGTAAGTTATCTAAAAGGAGCAAACTAAACCCGGAAAAGAAGTGTAGAGAAATACCTCAGACTATCCTGTGCTGAATGATCTCGGCCAAGGATGGCCAAACCTCTTCCGTCCAAGGTTTGAACCCCAATGGACACTCGGTTCACTCCAGCAAGGTGAAATTCTCTGAAATAAAAAAGTAACAGACAGCAAAGCCTTAGTACTTAGTGCTGGAGTTGACTTGCTGTACAACGACACAAATCTAAGTCAGAGAAATCGTTACAATCAATAACATGAGATTTTTGTAATCTAGCTTGCACTTAAAAGATAAAAATAGACCATGTTTTAGAACACATTTCATTAGATGTTGACATTAAAATTTGCTCTTACTTGAGTTTGTCAATCTCCAGGGCTGTAGGGTTGACCTCCATACTGACCTCTGCATCTTCGGCCATTGCCGTTGTTTGCCTCACTGCGGTCAACACCGACTCTATTGTTCTCGGTTCTGCGAGACTCGGTGTTCCTGGAATTACAATATACCACTTCATTGTCATAAACTAAATCAGCTTTCAAAACAAAAGATGCAACCATACAAGAAAAAATTTGTCATAGTTATGGTCTATATCACAACTATGGCAACCAGGCAATACTATACAGCAAAGACATATATCTCTCTCTATCTATATCGAGTAAAGTAAACACTGGCAACATAGTTTTTCAACAAAGGGAGTGGGTCTTAACAAAAATTAAATAACAAGGATAAAAAACAAACAGAGACATAATGTGTAAATAATTCCTGTCAAGTATTTATGATGACTGAAATGCGCACTGAGCATTTTTCAGAAAATGGAGATGCAGAGCATAAATGCTGTTCATTATTACTATACTAAGATCATTATTATTATTATTATTATTATTATTAATACATGTTATATTTGTAAAAATTCGTGACGTTGGCCGCCGAAAACTTCCCAACCACTTAACTTTCTAATTTGACAAAATTAATGGTGGTTCAGAATCATTTAAAGGGTGTACAGTTTTATTGATGAGCCTGAAGTCACTGTTGTTTAATTTTCAGTTTTTCATTAGTTTCGTTAAGATCTAATCTTGGGAAAGTCCGTCTTCTAAGACGCCATTGTAAACAAGTGAAATTTCCGTTCCCTAATCGTGTACACCTTTGAAATTCTGGAGTGTACACCCACGAAAGCGGAATAGAGAATCAATCTATATTTCTCTTTTAGACCTTCATATTTTTTGCATATCTCAAGATTTATTGCTCCATTCCAGTAGAGTGTAAAAATTGTAGGCCAATGACTTTCAGTTGATGTTCATGCACCGATCATTCCTTTCATCGAAAGGGTGCCCAGCTAGTTACTATCATAACTATGATAAAAAAACAAACTTACCTCCACCAAAGAAGACAGAGGACACAGAGCTGACTCCGGACAGGCCCAGTACAGTTTTCAGCTCTCGCACCAGACACCTTCGCATCCGCTCATGGTCCACGAACTTGCTGTGAAAAGAAGAGAGAAAAATACATATGTAGGCTTCTTTGTTATTAGTTAGTTTTAGTAAGAGTTGTACAGCACTTGCAACACAATTAGGTTATATAAATACCGAAGATTAGAGTGTTACAACAGAGTAACAAACACAAAAAAGGAGAAGAGATAAAGACCATACATGTTTAATAGGAAATAAGGAGCAGACCAAAACAGAGTGCCTGCCAACCACCCACACTTATACTCTTCTTTGTTTTTTGGGAGTAAAGAAAACCGCACCTATATGACAATGGTCACTAAAAATTATTTCTGGGGTAAAACACTTCCACTGGTGCCTTGTTTTAGCAAAAGTTTTACAGCAGAAGCAACAAAAATTGGTAATTTGTTTCGTTCTCGTAAGAGTTTTACAGTGCTTGCAACACAATAAGGTCATATTATAAGTGAAGAAGATTAGATGTGTTACAAGGGAGTATCAAACACAAAAAAGGAGGAGAAATAAGGACAATAGATGTTTGATAGGAAAGAAGGAACAAACCACACCAGAGCACCCTCCAACCACCCCAAAAATAGATCATATAAGTGCCAAAGATAAATAAGTATTATTAGAAAGTAACAAAGAAAATAAGGAGTGAAAGTAAGGACGACGAGATGTGTTATAGGAAAGAAGGAGCAAACAGAGTGAGAGAGACAGAGAGAGACAGGGGGCTCTCGTGGCCTAGAGGTTAAGGTGTTGGCCTCTCATTCAAAGGTCCCGGGTTCGAATTCGGGTAGCGACCGAAACATTTTCTTCTCTAAAATTGTCTCCTTTCACCTCCTTTCCTGCTCTCTAGCAATGTTCTGTTGTCTGCTTTCATTTCTACTTTCTGCCCCCACCCCCT